ACTTTGGGGTTCCGATTCGGGCTGGACATTTTAAGTCCCCTCCCAATCCTGTAGTGCTCTGTTTGTGAATCAATGTTCGAATGGCTTAGAAAGTGGGAGCAGAAGCTTCTTATCCCACGGTCTGTCTGGGGTACTCATTTTGAAAAGTGAGAAATAAACAACCACATCAGGGCAGGAAAATATAGGAATAGAAAACAGAATTAAAATGAAAGGTGCTGCCCTAACCGGTTTGGATCAGCGGATAGAGCATCGGCCTGTGGACTCAAGGGTCCCAGGTTCGATTCCGGTCAAGGGCATGTACCTTGGTTGCTGGCACATCCCCAGTGGGGAGTATGCAGGAGGCAGCTGATCGATGTTTCTCTCTCATCGATGTTTCTAACTCTCTATCCCTCTCCCTTCCTCTCTGTAAAAAATCAATAAAATATATTTAAAAAAATAAATAAAATAAAATGAAAGGTGCTGACTTTTCTTTTCTGATGAAAAATAGGTAATTCCAGAAATGCCTGACTTTTCAAAACGGACTATTTTTAAGAGCAGTTTTAGGTTCACAGTAAAATTTCACAGAACGTTTGTTCCCATACTCCCCCAGGTCCTCCAAACCGCACCCTTCCCCCAGCCTTCCTCACTATCAACACTGGGGAAGCAGAGTCGTACCTTTGTTACAAATGACGAACCAACAGAGACACATCACTGTCACCCAGAGTCCATAGCTGACATTAGGGTTTGCTCTTGCTTGTCTGCTCTGATTTTTTTATTCCCTGTTCGGACAACAGAATTCCTGTTGGCAATAGGAAAAAGCCCAGAGCAGAGAACCGCAGGCCCTCTTGTCTGTTAAGGCTGCTGTCACTTGGCCAGCGGACAAGTGGTTTGAAAGAAAAAGGCTTCCTTTGGTCCTCAGACACAAAATGTCAACCTTTCTTTTATAAACCCACCGAGAACAGTGACTGGAACGTAGTATACACTTAAGAAATATTTGCCAAATGAAGGAAGGACTGAGGAGGCGCTCTAAAAGGCAGGGCTTTAGGGAGTGATGTTGGTCTTTGTTTGTAGGCCCAATTAGCCAAGACTACTGGGTTCTGAAAGCCACTCTTGCTCCCTCTGCTTCTTCGAGGTCCTTGTGGGACCAGTGTGGCCACGCTGTTGTGTGAACAGGCTGGAAGCATGCTGAGGTCTAGAGGTGTCTGGTGTCCCTGACTCCAGCTCTCACTCAGCCTGGACACCCACTGAGAGAGCAGCAGGCAAAGAGGCCGGCGAGGGGAGTGATGCAAAGTCAGCCTCCAGCAGGCATCTCTCCAGGGCGTCAGGGGACAGACGAGGTGGCACTTAGAATCTGACTGTCCGTTTCCTTAATCACCTCCCACTCACACACATTCTGCTGGCGATGAAGAAACCAAACCCCGAGTCACCTTATAAATGGGATGACAGATACTTTGCATATGCATTAAAATTCCACAATAGCCCTAACCCGTTTGGCTCAGTGGATAGAGCGTCGGCCTGCGGACTGAAGGGTCCCGGGTTTGATTCTGGTCAAGGGCATGTACCCTGGTTGTGGGGAGTGTGTAGGAGGCAGCTGATCGATGTTTCTCTCTCATCGATGTTTCTAACTCTCTATCCCTCTCCCTTCCTCTCTGTAAAAAAATCAATATAATATGTTTTTTAAAAAATTCCACAGTAAAAAAGTGAGAAACAGTAAGAGGTTTAAAAAAAAATTCCACAGTAAAAAAGTGAGAAACAGTAAGAGGGCAAAAGAATTATGACGTTTTAAACAAAAGGGTTGATGCACTGGGATATAAAAGTGAAAGAAGTCCAAGTTTCCTTTGCTTTTCTACACAAGATCACAGCTCTGGCCTGAGGACAAAAAGGAGTGGAGGAGCAAGTGAGCCACACTTACTAGTACGAGAAGCAGGGGAAGCACAGAGAGGAGGCAGCAATCAAAGCGTCCTGGTCCTGGTCCCATGGGTGGGACTTGAGAAAAAACACCTTGGCATTAATACCCATAGAGTAGAACTATGCTGGATTACTTAAATACAAAAACACAATTTTCTCCAGGTACTATTTACTTATTTATCCCTAATTCCCCGCCTGGAATGTAGGCTCCATGTAGGCAAGAACTGGGTGGGTTTTGCCCTCAGAACATTAACAATGAGGGGCAAGGACAGGCACTCTGTGTATATTCTCAGAGTGAATGAAAACATGAATGAAATAGCTGCTCATTCACCACTTACTTCCCACTCCACTCTGGCTGACCTGCAAATAACACTGTTGTTCTCTGTCATGTAGGAGGAGCAAGGTGCTGCTCCTTCCTCCGCAGGCAGGTGCTCCCAGAGGCCACCAACAGCAGGGGAGGGAGGCAGCCAGCGGCGCTGTTTTTATTTCTATGGAACCTGCTACTTGACACTTGAGATGGTTCATGCTGACAGAGGCAGCTTCTTCACTGTGTTCCCTAACTGTGACCAGATGCAGACAACTCTCCAAGCCACGGACAATGAGGGAAGGGCCCTCCTTCCCTAGCGGGGTGAGATCCACTCAGCCCCAGCACCAATGCGGCTTCAGCGACTTTACCAGAAGTTCAGAGGCTGAGGAAGCGGCATGCGTAGGAGTAAACGCGTTCTCAATGTGAATTCAAGCACAATATAGATCTTCACTTAACATCGTCAATATGTTCCACAACTCGCAGCGAAACAACGCACAATGAAACCAATTTTACTATCAGCTGATTGATATCATAAACAAGAGTTAAGCCCCTCTGGCATCTCATCAAGGTTATAGCAAAACGATGTTAAACAGAATGACGTCATTCAAGGACCTAAGCTCCCCAGGTAATTCCCAATCACATGGCCTGGCTTCCACCTAGGCCACGGCCAGGGGCAGGGTCAGGACACACTGCTACCTCCACGAGTTTCAGTCCAACAGAAGGAAACTTGGGCCAGTTTAATATATTGGATTAAGCCCAAACGAAACGAAAGCCTTGCAGAGCTTATTCTAGAAAGAGAATAACACGTCTAATAATTAGAAGAGTTCTAGCAATACTGCCCTATAGCAGCACAATATTGTGAATGACCTATTTTATTACTTGTAATATTGTTCAGATTCTGGAGTTAAAAAAAGGAAGGAACCAAGTGTCAGAGAGAGTATACTAAGGTACAATAATTTACAAAACACTAGACATTTTCTAAAAACTCATTTTGAAGTTCAAGTCTTTGCCAAGCAAATGCATAACAAAAATTAGAACTGCAGCCTGGCTGGTGTGGCTCAGTTGTTGAGCACTGACCTATGAACCAGGAGGTCAGGGCATATGCCTGGGTTGGGGATTGATTCCCCAGTGCAGAATATGCAGAAGGCAGCCCATCAATGATTCTCTCTCATTAATGTTTCTCTTTCTTTCTCTCTGAAACCAATAAAAATATATTTTAAAAAATGAGAACTGCAATTAAAGTGAATATAAAACTCAGGAATTGCAAAAGTCAGTATTAAAAAAGAGAGAGACAAAGAAAAATGACTAAGTCCAAGAGAAAAAATAAATGGGAATATATTTACGTTGGTATATTCTTCCGGAATGACAGTGTTGACAAGTGAGCACTTGAGCGTCTTACATTTTTTTGAACATGGTTTTTTCATGGCACAACTACTGGCAGGTCTAACTTGCACTCTTTTCCAGTGAAGGGAGCCCTGTCCAGCCAGGACTTAGAGCTCACTGAGGAGGCCACCCTGCCTCTTTCTGGAACGCAGGGAAAGGGGCGTTCCGCCATCCGGTCTCACCAGTGGTTCAGATGCCGCCGTCCCTCCGGAAGAACGGACGCGTTCCTGCGGCGGGTTTCCGAAGTCTCAGAGCTCTCGGTATAAAATTAACCTAAACCTCGAACCACGAAAACATGGTGTCCTCGTAAATCTCTCATGGCCACCTTTTTACGATGTTTTCGCTCCACTTCCCAACTTTTGATCACTTCCAAAGCCCTCAAAATCTGCTTGCTCAAACCGCACCCTGCACTATCTCTTTTTTTCACTTGGGGCCAAATCTGGCATCAATGTTTTGTCTGCTCAGCAGGAGAGCAATTTCAACAATCTCCTGCTTTTTATAAGATCAGTGTATTCCTCCCAACATAATAATTAGTTTCAGATGAACCTGGTCGCTGTTCCTCGGACCATTCCACTGTGGTATGAGCAAGGAGAGCAGAGACTTCCCGCTGCACTACTTTTTCCAGCAAAGAATGTGGGTTCTCTCATAGCCCCAGGACAGAACCTTCCCATTTTCCTTCCTTACAACATAGCTGGGTTTTCCTAACCGACATTCTCAAAGAGGTAGATTGAAATGATGATTATGGGAATCTGCTCATTTTTCTTTTGAAAAGGTTCCGATGAATTATTCTTCCATTTATCAAACTATAATGTCATCAAGGACATAAATCTTATGACTCTAACCAGGGCTGTATCCCTACAAACACACAGAGGTTGCAAACAGGAAGCCAACAGTGTTATCTTAACTGAATTAGCGTGCAGGGGATAATAAATACTGACAGGTAAAAAAAATATACTGGCCTAGAGCTAAGGCTATTTAGAGGAATAACTCTGGAAAGTCTCTGCTGGCAGTGGTGCAGAGAAATCAAGCAAGACATTATTTTTATAAACAGAATGATGGAGATGATCTATATGGAGCGTAATCAAAACAGGCCCCGTGTCAAGTTACACCCCGGAGTTGCCAGTTTTCCTTTAGGTCTCCCACGTGCACCTAAATCATCGCCTCCCGTGCATTTTGACTCATTAATTCAGTACCAGCAGTGAAGTCATCCGTGAGTATTTTCCCCATCGAAACCTTAGGTTATCCTACTTGTAAATCCCAGCAGCCCTGAGCGATGACTTCTGGGAGGAGTCGCCCTGATGCCTGGAGGTCTTCAGTTGGGACTATCTCTTAGTGTCTGGGAGTCTTTGCCTGTTTCATAGAAAGCAGCGTCCTCGCTGCTTTATCACGCGGTTAACAACAGGATTCCTCGTGTTTATCTTACCTTCACACGTACGGCCATCCGCAGAGATTGTGAAGCCCTGTTCGCAGACACAGTGGAAAGAGCCATCTGTGTTCAGACACTCTCCACGGGGGCCACAGAGTCCAGGCTGCTCACACTCATTAATGTCTGGAATTGAAAAGAAAGTTCCAAACACTTGAAAAAAAATCTGTTTTTTTTTCCCCTATAATACCATACATACAGTAGAGAAATCCATTACAAAATGATTGGACACTTATTTTGTGGCACAATCACACCATTTGTACAAATACCAGACCACAAGACAAAGTGGAAATGTCATGAAACTATTTAAGTTGAGTCATATGAAATAGCCAATGTTCCACCATTTCTGACCTACCAAAAAAAAAAAAAAAAGCAATTTCGAGGGTTCAACCCAAAGCTAGCCTCATTTTAGACTTGAGGAACAGTCTCATAGAATCAACAGCTCCTCTGTGAAATATTCTTCGTCGGTGAGAAAGCTGTGTGCCCCTCTGCCCACTCCCACTGCCATGCATACAGCTAACGCTGTTGTAGCCTTGTAACATCCATGCATACCAGTCCCTAGGATGTGAACTTCGTAAGGGCAAGGCTGATTTATTGCATTTGGTTCAGAAACGGCGCTTCACAAATGTCTGCTGACAATATAAATAAAATAGGCTCCAATCTTTATTTCATTGAAAATGGACAAAAGAAAGAAAATGCAAGAAAAAGAAGGCAGTTTAGACCAGGAAGTTCCTATTATTTGCAGAGCTTTGTGATGATGAAACGGGTGAATGGGGGTCAACTGCTTAGTGCAGTGCCTAACACACAACTAAAGGTCAAAGAGTGGTAGCTGCTATTGACGACGTGTGCTAACCACCTGACACTCTGCCTGTCCCAATGAAAAGTGCTATTGCTCCCTGTAGCCAGAGGCATGACGCACTCTTGAACCGTGATAAAGCATGAAGAGTTTGGCATAAGTATGATGTTCTTTCAAGCCAGTTCTAATTGCACTGGTTAAGTTGACAACATAAGGAATCCTGGAGAATGGTTCAATTTTTCACATTGGTATTAACACAGAAAACTGCCTATTTGCACTGTGTGGTTTTTAAATTTATCTTTATTGTTGAAAGTATTACAGATGTCCCCTTTGTTTTGTTTTTTCTCTACTGACCCCCTCTACCCTGCACCCACCCCTCCCAGGTATTCACCACACTATTGTCTGTGTCCACGGGCTATGCATATATGTATATAATAAGTTCCCTGATTAAGGTTCATCTCTCCCCACACCCCCTCACCCCCTCACCTACCCATGTCCCTCACTACATTGATTGCTCCTTAATGAGACTACATATTTTAATTGAGTCCCCAGCTTCTAATACAGCACATTAGTAGTGTATGATGAATGTCTGTCCACTACAACATTTCCGTCATGTTCATACTCTACCTGGCTAGTTCACTTAATTAAGGGGCGGGGATCATAAAAACTATCACAGGTCCTTGGCACCATCCAGGCAGTAGTCCTACTAAGGGCATTCTCCTGCCTTCCTAAAGTGCCCTAGACCATCCTTTGTCTCTTACTAACGAGGTCCTCGGTACTTCCTCGTAGGAGTCTATCTTTAATTCAATGAAAAACATTTACTGAATGATGCCTATGAGAAGGTTAAATAGGATGGAGCACTTGACATGATGAAGCTCACAATATAACAGGGGAGGCAAGAACACGCATGAATAACTGCAAAGCACGAGACCTTCCTAGTGACCTCTAGAACATGCTTAGCCACCAACCCTGCTGTTCCCTTTCTCAAGAAAGTCATCCCTCCCCCTGTATCCAGGATCTGTTAATCCTGAACAATTTGTCCTACCATCTGCCATATAATTCAGACTAGTTGGCCTATCCATTGCTAAATAAAAGTAAAAAACCAAGCAGCAATGACTTAATAACCCAATTTTCTTAATAACCCTTCCATTCTTATTATTGTCACTGATTTTAAGACATTTGAAGGGAGAGGAATGAATCATTTCCTACTTAACTATTTCTCAATTTTTCACACTGAAAAATTCTTCACCTCTGTTATAAAAGTTTTTGATAGCTTCTATGTTTGCTCTCTAACTACTGATAATATCTCAGACTGACAATCTTTTTCGAATTCTGATCTGCTCTTAGCCTTAAGCTCCATTCTTTCTTTCCAACCTGCTGCCTAGAGTCATCTCTACCTGGGCAAAAAGGTAACAAAAAGTTCCACTGGTCTAGAGATCAAGCCCAAGGTCACGCCCTGGCGGTTGAGACCACCCCCTTATTTCATCCAGTGCCTCAATGTGGCCTTTTAAAAGCTGCCTGCTTTGCAACTTCTCAGAGGGAATAATGTGCATAAAGTTCGTGCTTCAAGAGAAGTCAATGATTAACAAATAATTGTATAAAAAGTTTGATGACAGGAACTGAAAATGGATTCCCAGACTTTTTTTTCCAGGAAACCACTAAGAAAGAACAACACGACTATCTGGAACTAGAGAAACATATGCATTCAATTTGGGTTGTACTTATTGAGCCATTTCTAAGCTATGCTGCTAGTAACTCAGCTGAAAGCCAGGCTATATTTGTGTTTCTTTCACGGGTCTGAGATTCCACAGAAATTCGCCATTTGGCGTGTGTACGTCAAAACGTGAAACTGAAGTGTGTTCTGAATCTCAAATGTATGCTGCCACATCCCTTAAAGAGTCGATTAATATGGAATTTCCATGCTGCCTGTATACATCATTAATTTCGCTGGGGGAAGAGAATCTTAAATACACTTCCACTTGAAAGTGACTTATTGACACAGAACTTTCTTCGCATTATTAGGGAAGGTTTAAAGTTTATGCCTAATACACATTGTTATTACATTTTCAGCATTAAAACAAACTGAAATCTCCGCCAATCTACAGAATGGTGACATGACCATGGGATTAGATAGGAACAGGCTACTAACTTCAAGCAGAGTGAAAGACCACAAAGTTGCCTCCAAAAACATAGCAAAAAGAGATAATTCTAAACAAAGTGAGTGTGCACGCCTCTGATCATAAACAGCCTCTGATAGGAGACAGCGGGTGACAGAGCAGATTCGTAGATGATATTGCTTAAAAGATATTAAAACCAGCCTCAGGAATACTTTTCATTCATTTGGATTTCAGTTTTTTTAAGCAGACATGTTAATTCATTCTGGAAAACAGGAATCACCAAGGTGACAGAGAATGAAGTCAACTTAATAATGACAGTCAATAAAGCATCATATGTTAGGAGACAGCGGGTGACATAGCAGATTCATAGATGATATTGCTTAAAAGATATTAAAACCAGCTTCAGGAATACTTTTCATTCATTTGGATTTCAGTTTTTTAAAGCAGACATGTTAATTCATTCTGGAAAACAGGAATCACCAAGGTGACAGAGAATGAAGTCAACTTAATAATGACAGTCAATAAAGCATCATATGTTTGAAGCAGTCACATATTTGAGAATGGATATCAAGTCACAAACAAATGTAAGGATCTGAGCAAAGATAGTAGTGCAATTAATAAATGACTAAATTAGTTCTTCATGATTTAACTCTAGATGTTTAATAATAAAATTTGCAATATGAAATCATGGTCCATTTATGGTAAGACTTGATTTTGCCTCTAGTTGGTATTAGAAAAATTGTGATGAAAGATATCAGAAAAGAAAATATTACTTTTCAGCCAAAAAAAAATTTGTATTTAAAACAGATTTCAGATTGATTTTGTTTGTTTGTTTCCAGGCATCTCTTGGCATTTTTATGCAAATCAAGATTCATTTTGTTAAGATGTAAAAGTCCCAAAGTGGATAATCTCACACAAATTTGTTATTCAAATGTTCCTTCTTTACTGCATTAAATCCAAGTACATTTAAATTCTGCTTTGTAAATACTGAAAAACTTCAATTCATTTTATTAAAATCATGATGGCAAGTATCTGATATTAAATGAGGAATACAGCAGTGTATTTAAGTCTTGGGATCACTAAGGCAATTAATTGTAAAAGATCTTGAGGCAAAGGCCCATGTCTTTGGTATCTCAGTGACATACAGCTGGGTGTGTGATACGGATATAGGGTATAATATTATTCCAGTACCACATCTTAAAGATTAGACCATCTTCCCTTTCAAGAATACTATAATTTGCCCTGGCCCAGGTGGCTCAGAGGTTAGAGCGTCAGCCTGTGCAACGCAGGGTGGCAGGTTCGAATCCCGTGCCTCAGTAACAAGTTTGATCCCTATCCCTGGTTGGGACGTGTACGGGAGGCAACCAATCAATGTGTCTCCCTCACATCGATGTTTCTTTCTCTCTCTCTTTCTCTTTCTCTCTCCCTCTCCCTTACTCTCTAAGGATCAATGGAAAAAATATCCTTGGTGAGGATTAAAAAAAAGAATACTGTAATTTGGGATATTTGAGAAGAGATATAGTTTATGACCATCCAGATTAAAGAAGTCATACATGTTCAGTAGCAGTACATAGAGAATAACTTCAACAATCCTTTATTTAAATGTTACTTGAAGATACAAAACACAGTTCCATAATGGCAGAAGAACAATAAGAAAAAAATAATATTTCCAAAAATAAATATGCACAAAGATAAATATAAATGTGAGTTTTTAATGGGAAAAATAGGCATGGAAATGCTATTGATACAGTAAGCAGTTATACAAGACATGATCACAGTACAAAAGAGGCCAGTTATAGAAGGTCACCAGGGTGGACAGCCCCAGATACCTAGAAATGAACAAAACTGGGAAAACAAAGCATTGTAGAGTGGGACCTTGCCCCCAGGATGACCCTTCTTCCGCTAGCATATCGCTGGTCATGAGGTTCACACCATCCCTTGACCTTTCCCTCACCAGCATGGTGCAAGTCATGTGATAGACCCCCTTAAAGGAGGAGCAAGGGGCCAAAAAATAGCCTCCTATGAGTCCCATTGAAGCCCTTGCACAACTACTCCCCTAAGCATTAAGCCCTCAGGACAATGAGGACCAGCATCAAATAATCTTAGGAACAAAGCTTCAGGTCTGGTGACCACAGAGACAGAGTTTTGGTCAAAATAGAGATAATATCTAGGGCTCAGTTGTGTTTCAGCTCCAGGCCCAGAAAAGCAGCAAGGCCAGGCAGGGTGATGCCATGGCTGCCATCAGGACCAGCTGTGATGACTAATGACCCCCTGCCCTGGCGCTGACCAATCAGTGAAGACCACAACCCTGAGAGGGCACCCAGCTGATGAATATTTTATTGAGATTCTCCCCTGAGACCTGTAAAAACCCTTAGCATGAAGGACCCAGTGCGTGCTCTCTCTGGAGCACACCCATCCCTCTCCCCTTCCTTCCCGCAGGAACGTTTTTCTTTGCCTTTCTTTCTCCTAAGCTCCCAGGGCTTTTCCTTTACCTCTGTTCTTGTTTCCTGAGTCCATGCCGCCCAACTGGCTCACTTCTTCTAACCCTGTGAATTTCTAAATACATTTTTGCTTGTATTTGAGTTCCTTGGCTCTTAATTCTTTTCTTAGCTGAACTCAAGGACCAAGGTCTAACATCTGGTGTCGTTTGCCATTAACACTAGGACTAACAAGTACAGGAGAACTTGTGGGGCAGCCAGGTACAGCTAAAGATGTTGGGGCACAGGATCTAAACTATTTAATTTTTCATCCCAGCATCAATCATGCCCCAATGCATTACACAGGGAAAAACAACTGAATCTCACATCTTCCTTTCTGCTATAAATACAATAATAATTGGTATGGCGGCAGAGCAGATAGTAATGAGAGAAGATATTGGGTTCAAAGCTCTACCACTTATTCGCACACTAATTCACTTCTCTGAGCCTCAGTTATTTATGCACAAAATGAATGTAAGAAAACCTACCTCAAATTTTGTAAGAATTAAATGAGGAACCTACAATACTCAGCACATAGTAGATATTACATTAAGCTGTTGTAGTAATTAGTGCTGTGTTCTTATTAATCCACTGTACTGTTGTTTAGATTACATATGATAGCACTTTGAAAAATAATATAAAATCCTGTCCTTCGTAATTTTGATCAAATTATATTTTAAAGACATAGTTTTATTGATTTCAGAGGAAGGGAGAAGGAGAGAGAGATAGAAACATCAATGATGAGAGAGAATCATTGACTGGCTGCCTTCTGCACGCCCCCTACTGAGGATCAAGCTCGCAACTTGGGCATGAGCCCTGACAAGGAATCGAACCAGGGACCTCTTGGTTCATGGATCTATACTCAACCATTGAGCCATACCAGCCGGACTTGATCACATTATTAATGAGATTTTTTTAGGAAGAGAAAAAGCTGGATACTGGATAAAAACAGAGATAAGGAAAAAGATAAATATTAGCTATGTGACAAATGCCCACAAAGGATATAGAAAAACTAGAAAGATAATTTAGAATCAAGTTCCAAGATTGACCCATGGAAAAAACAACAGATTGCAGGTGATCTCAGTTGCTGACAGCATGCAAAGCAAGGACACAGTTCTAAAACATAGGAGTTTCGGTTAATAACAAGGTGCCATGCAAAAGAGGACTTCCTACTCGATGCCAACCCAAGAAAGATATTTTAATAATACAAACTGGCAAAGCCCATTTACATATAAAGCAAGTGGTACAACCCCAGATCACCACCAGGAAGCATCGAGAATGGAAGGACTGTGTAAATTATGAGAAAGAGGAAGAGAGAAGAAGTACCTTGGCATCCTTTATTGTCATTTAGCTGGAAGCCATCTGGACAAGTACAATCGTAGGACCCTTTGGTGTTAATGCAGTCTCCTCCCTGGCAAACGCTATTGTCTTCCAAGCATTCGTTGATATCTACAAATCAATTTAAGAATTTTAAAGATTAAATAAATTATATCTTAAGCAAGTAGGTATTTTCCCTTACATTTACATACAAAAATCACGTACATGTATATTTTTTACATCACTCATAACACATGATTTGAAATGAGTGACAAGCTTTTTAACTTCAGGAATTTTTTAAAAATGAAACATTTTGAAAGAATTTTAACTTTGAATAATATATAATCTGAAGTTTTGACATCAAATGAAATTAATTGGAAGAGGAAAAGTCAAAATTCTGTAACAAAGAGTAATTTACTTGGCTATTTTCTTGGTGATGACAGAGAATAAAAAAACATTATTTAAATATATTCTGTTAAGAATATCTTGAGCATCTATTTATACATGATGCTGCATTATGCATTATAGGAAAAATTTAAAAGTATTTGGCATGGTCCCTGCCCCTAATGAGAAATGATTGTTCAACTAAATTTGTAGTAATAAACACATGAAACATTAAATTATCTTAGAAGTCCAAAACAATTTAACATAAAGATTGTCACAAAATATAATTATTTATCAAAAGAATTGTAACAACTTTAGGTGTCATGTGAATTTAGAGAAGAGATGTAAAGGTCAAAAGAGGACTCCCTGTAACAAAAGGAATGTCCGTGGAGTCTGGTCAGCAGGCTGGGCAGGAGGAGGGGGAAGCAGAGGGGCTTTTGGCAGAAAGGGACTCAGTAAGACCAAAGCGGAAGTCACTGACTCAGCAGCTGTGACAAGCAGGTTGGAGGCTGCCTGGATTTGTGAATATATGTTTATAGCATATGTGCAACTAAAAATGGTTTACATGCCCAATAATGAGTTTTTGACTGTAAGCGTATGAGACAATTAAGGACCCCCCTCATAGCATGATCGCTGGGCAGGACTTCCCAGAGGGCTGTTTAGTACCACACTCACTCCCAGTCTGAACTCATTATCCCTAACACACGCCATGAGTCCCTCTTCTCTTGTCTAGTATAGAGGATTGAAATGATTAGCAGTGAAGAAAGCTAAGGGACCAAACCGTCTTTGTTTTCTCAGGATTTGGCATATTATGGCATTTCTTGCAAATAACTATGATCGCTGCTAAATATATATGAGAAGCTCCAGGAGGAAGTGAATATGGAGCCTGTTGGAGTCTAGTTCTCACTGCCTGGTTCAAAACATGGAGGCGCCAAATTAAGTTTTCTTCCTAGAACCCAATCAACTAATTAACTGGCTCCTGTACCAGTCATGGGGGAAATAAAAGAGAAATAAGCACCTTACCCTAGTATAATGTCATTTTATCAAAGTAAAAACAAGTTATATTATGAGGATCACCCAGATTTAAAGTGTTTCTGAATACTGATCCTAAAACATAAAACATGACTGATGTGACTTTGTCACAATTAAGTGGGTTAGTTATCACTTTTCTTTAGTGTGTTTTTCCAACTTCACTGAAGTATAATTACATACAATAGATACATCTAATTTTAAGAGTCCATTTCAATGAGTTTTGACAAATCTAGACACATTCTTGTGACCACTCTCATAACCAATTAAGGTGTAGGCATTTTACCTACACACCGTTTACTGTTATCTCCCTCACTAGATGTAAGCTCCATGAGGGCAGGAATTTTTGTCTTTTTGATTCATTGCTCTATGTTCTGCGCTTACAATAAATATTTGTTTAAAAAATGTATAAAATAAATGATTCTGACAAGGAAAGAAATCACTTCTTCCCACAGTTTTTTGATTTGGTCCATAAAGACCAAGCATTCGTTGGGTCGAACTAGAGATAACATCTAGGGCTCAGTTGTGTTTCAGCTCCAGGACCAGAAAAGCAGCAAGGCCAGGCTTCACCATGGCTGCCATCAAGGCCAGCTGTGATGACTAATGACCCTCTGCCCTGCTGCTGACCCATCAGTGAAGACCACAACCCTGTGAGGACACCCAGCTGATGAATATTTTGTGACCTAGGGGCCACAGGAAGTCAGAGTAAATCAGGAACCTTTGTCTCAGGCTTTGTAAGGGATTAGCAGGGAGCAACCCCAGTGAGGGCTGGGGAAGGTGCTAACATAGGCATGGAATCAGACACTGTGCCTAGAAGGGGAACAAGTCGGAGGCAGAGCCTTTCAAGGTTGAGACGCCTGGACCTCCAATAACCAGGACCACTGAGCTAACCCCATCATGTTAGACGAAGTGGCTGCTGAGTGTAGTCAACAGCACACAGAAATGAACACAACGCTTGGGCTTCCAACTCTAAGAGAAGGCCAGCAGGACTGCAGGACAACCCTGTAGGAAAACAAAGTCTTTGCCAGAATTTATTAGAGAAAAACTACACATGTAATATAAAAGCCAACAAGAAGGATGGCTCTTCTTCCCACAGCTGTGAGCGGCATGCAAACCGTCACAGCTCAGTTAATTACAGCTAAATACACTGGGAGGGTTGGAAGCAGTGCAGGATGGGAATTAAAATCAATAAAATATATTTAAAAAAAAAAAAACCGTCACAGCTCAGTTAATTACAGCTAAATACACTGGGAGGGTTGGAAGCAGTGCCGGATGGGAATTATCAGGCTGGAGCACTAATAGAGTTTCAGAGGGAGCTCTGACTTAGCTAGATGGACTCCAGTTCTATTTATAACTTAGGACAGTAGGAAAATGAGCCCTGACTTGATGAAAAAAGAATCAATAATATATTCCAAAAGAAGCTTTCCCATGGAACAGAATAATATCTTATAATCATATATATTAACAATGATGAGGAAGTTGGCTAAGCAGTTTTTATTTGGCTTTTCACGCACTGGATGTTTTGAGAATAAACATCCTGAACTTCCGAAAAGTGATTACACGTTATAACAGCCCAAAAATAGGAACATGCCCATGGATGGGACCCATTACCCAAAACTTAATCAATGGCTTGGTCAACCTGTTGGCCATGCCGGGATCAGGGAAGGAGGGTTTCAGGCCCAGCGTGTGCCACGCCGCTAACTTACTTCACAAGAGGTTCCCATGGCTGGCTCCCCCCAACAAGGCTGCCTCTCCCACTCTGAAGCACCACTATGTTGGATCATTAACATTTACCCATGTGGATAGAGTTCCCCAAACACACTCTTTCACACAAAGTTTATTAGATTGACTTATCACTTGTTTGACCCTTTGCCTATTTTTCAATAGGTAAGTTGATTACAACTTTTCACGGGTGTCGTCAGACCTTTGAAGAACATTAGAACATTACCACCGTAGGGTAAAATCCTAGAAGGTGATTCACCAATAGTGGACACGGTGAGGCCCTGGAAACTGCCCAAATCGCCCCCCAGAAGGGCTGCGACTGCTGTGCCAAGCTCTCTGGGCAGCAAAGCAGGAGGCTATGAAGTACAGTGGATCTTTCCCAACCGACTGGGGCAGGAAGTTAAAAAGTATCTGAGGCCATTGAAATACGGGCCCTAAAAGCTTTTACTAGAAAGCACACCCACTTCTCTCACAGGTGGGGTTCAGACTCCCACTCAGACTCGCACGCTCTATGTGAGGCACCGACCAGCCACATTCACAATTCACAACTGACAGAGTCAAAATGCAGTAAATTATCAGGCTAGCCAGGAAAAAACTTGTTACTTGGATGGATACCAAAAGCAGACAGAAGTCACAAGAGCCAGATGGGGGGCCATTGAAATACGGGCCCTAAAAGCTTTTACGAGAAAGCACACCCACTTCTCTCACAGGTGGGGTTGAGACTCCCACTCAGACTCACACGCTCTACGTGGGGCACCGACCTGCCACATTCACACTTCACAACTGACAGAGTCAAAATGCAGCAAATCAGCAGGCTAGTCAGGAAAAAACTGTTACTTGGATGAATACCAAAAGCAGACAGAAGTCACAAGAGCCAGATGGGTGGCAGGCTGATTCAGCAGTCCTGCAGCCTCAGAGAGGTTCTGGGCCACGGCAGGTAGGGAGTGGGTAATGACTGCACAGTGCTGTACATGTGGGGAATCTTTTAGGAATATCCTATGAAAAAAGCTCAAAACCGAATTAATGTCTGCCTCTTAAAAACGTTCCCATTATCTGCAAAACTAACTTGGATTTACTTATGTGGATCATTTGCATGCCGGCCCCGCATAAATAAGGTGTCACCGGTCAAAACTGCACACCGAGGACCACACTCCATCCACAGCTGAGAAAAGTTACATTGGTCTTTTCCTCCTCTCACGGGCACAGGTCTTCTAACAAACAGCTCCCAGCAGTGCGAAGAAAACCTGGATCCCACTCCTTCTCTGCATTCCCTGTGTGGCCTTGGGGAAAACACTTTGCAGGGACCTAATGTCCTCAACTGTGAAGCCAAAAGGTTGGGCTCGAGGACCCAGGCTGGGAAAACATGCTGATTTCTGTCTGATTCCGGCATCTTCTGGTTCTGAAATCAGGAGCAATTCTCACCTTCACAGTGGTCCCCCAGGGCGGACGCTCTGTAGCCCTGGTCACACACGCAGCGGAAGGAGCCCTCCGTGTTCCTGCACTGCCCGTTGGTGCAGAGATGGCGGTGCTGGCATTCGTCGATATCTGTGAGCAGGGGAGGGAAAAGAACCTGCAGAAGGGATGCTTTCAAAATACTTTTATCCCGGCTGGTGTGGCTCAGTGGTTGAGCATTGACCTATGAACCAGCAGATCACCATTCGATTCCCAGTCAGGGCACATGCCTGGGTTGCGGGCCTGATCCCCAGTAGGAGGCAGCCAATTGATTATCTCTCTTATCATTGATGTTTCTATCTCTCCCTCTCCCTTCCTCTCTGCAATCAATTAAAAATTATATTACAAAATTCTTTCAATCATTCATGCAAAGGAAGTATATAAACTAGATGGCTTATAATTAACTTAGATTTGATTTTTTGTTATGTGAATGAAACACTCCTCTAGTAAAAAGCTATTAATCCCCCAATAGGGAGAAATCCAGATAAATTTACAATTTTAAACAGTGTGTTAAAAGCCTGTACATATGAATCCCACTGTTTACCGGTGTGTGGTAAATATGTTGCTGGGGTCTATAAGCCTTCACTAAACTTCTTAGCTTTCTTTTATAGGTTCGACTATGACACTCTGTGATAGTCTAGAGCAGCGGTTCTTAACCTGTGGGTCGCGACTCCTTTGGCGGTCGAACGACCCTTTCACAGGGGTGGCCTAAGACCATCCTGCAGATCAGATATTTACATTACGATTCATAACAGTAGCAACATTACAGTTATGAAGTAGCAATGAAAATAATTTTATGGTTGGGTCACAACATGAGGAACTGTATTTAAAGGGCCAGCAGGTTGAGAACCACTGCTCTAGAGAGTTGCACACTGCAGCCCACTGCCTATTACTGTAAATGAGGTATTACTGGAAAAGAGTACCACAGATTCATTTACTACCCGAAAGTGATTTTTTGTATTGAGATCAATTAAATTTCTTTTAAGTCTAAGGTCAAACCTAGTGAGGTCCAAACTCTTCACTATCACCTGTAGGAATAGGACATATTTCACAAACTCTATCCCCGAGTAGAAGGGGACACGATTGCAGTCTTGCTGAAAAGTCTTCTTTAGTGATTTTTTTAAAAGGAAAAATTTTGTAAAGCTGAATACCCATAAAAGTTAAGGTCATTAACATTCCATAGCACATACCAGACTGATATGATGACCTTCTAATTGCAAGAATCCTAGTGTGCACAACTTTCAAATGAATTCAACCGAATTGATTTTCTGTAGTAAGGAATACAGAGAGCAATATTTTTTCTTACTAATATGAATGCCCAACCACTTGATCACTAACTACCTATTTTTGAAATTTACATATTTTCCATCATTTCATTGACTTTCCTGATGTAAGTGTAAGTCGCTTGCTTCCTGGGACTAGAAAGCCATCATCGATGTAGTGCCTCACTTTCCCGAGTGCACCTGTTCCAGGCCAGGGTCTCAGGCTAAAAGCACAGGAGCTCACGTTGCCACACTCCTACCTTCACACTGGTCTTTCGCTGCTGACAGCTGGTAGCCCTGCCCACAGGTACACCTGAAGGAGCCCTCGGTGTTTTTGCACTGCCCATTCATGCAGAGATTCCCTTGCTGACATTCATCAATATCTGTAAACACATACAATGACAACTGTTTGAAATTAGGTCATATCTAGACTAGTGACTTAGTTTAGTCTCAACTCAGACTAAACTAAGTCACTGCCCACAAGGTGTTCCATTTAAGTTTTCTATAAACAAAGAAAAGGGGGAATGTAATGTTCCCTACAGTACATTCTGGGGTTAATATTACAAAAATAATAATACTTCCTATATGAGACCCTCTAAATTTTAGTCTGATTCAGCTCACTAAATGTTCCTCATATCAACCTCAGCAGCTGAACTGTGGAATGGAAAAAGTTACAAATAGACAATAAAGTTATGAGCAAGTTAAAGCTACTTTCAATATAACATGAAGCCCTTTGCCATCTCTCCCATACTTTGGCTATAGCAGAAACACAAGATGAAATACTTGAGAGTTGAAAACAGAAGACAGAACCTCAAGCACAAAATAGTGACAACTGGCAGCATGTAGAAATTTCAGGAAAGAAGGTTGAATTAAGACTCTACCAAGAATTTTAAAAACAAAACCATATTAAAGGCAGTAATGGAGAGAAATAAACATGTCTCCTGTATTTAGAAGAAGCTGAAAAAGTAAAAAATCAAACAGTTGTGCTAAAAGATACTGAACTTATTTATTTATTGGGGGGCAGGGGGAGAGAGAGAGAGAGGGAGGGAGGGAGGGAGGGAGGGAAGGAGGAAGGGAAAGAGAGAGAGAGAGAGAGAAGCACTGATGTGAGAGAGAAGAGTGACACATTGATTGCCGGTGATCAACCTGCAACCCAGGAATGTGTCCTTGACCCAGAATCAAACCTGACACTCTTTGGTGCGGGGGCCAACACTCTAACCACAAAACTTAACTTTAAAGAAACAAGGAAAGCCAAGTGAAATGATGGTATTATATCGATGGCTGCTGGAATATCAAAAGAGAAAGTGGTGAGAATTTTTTAAATGCCTTAATTAAATGACTTTGATTTCTTTTACAGAAACCAAGTCCTAGCAATCAATGTCTGACTATTGCTTTCTTCCCAAACTATCCTAGTTACAATGCCTCTAAAAGTTTTTACCCAAGAGAACAGTCCTTCCCCCTAAGTATTATTGACAATCACCTGTTTTCTGAGCAAAGATGCATTTCTTAACCTCTAGGGAGGCATTAACCTTTTGATTTTATCCTGATACAAACAAGGTCTTGAGTTATTAGAAGTTTCCTTTAAAAAGCTCACATAAACTATTAATCTAACTGTAGTTCAGGAATTTTGGGGGTTTTTTTCCATTTAATTTTATGTAGAAATTAGTGTACTATAAACTTTTGTTTCACTTATTGTGTTATTGATCCCTCTTATTTATACATAAGTCCTGCCTGCCAATTGTTGACTACTAAAAGAGAAATCAAATAAGTGAGCTGAATTTCATTTGAAGAATTATTTTATACCTTTCCACACTCTAAGTCTATTAGTTCTAGGAGTGGCCGACAGCAAAGAATAGCCTACACCGTATTTTCTTTCAGCACATTCTATAAAATACTTGAGGTCTCTCAGTTCAAGAACTTGAGACCAACAACTGCTCCTGTAGCGTGTTGGATCTCATGTAATGTATGACAACATTTTTAGTGCCTTGGACTCTTTTTGATTTTCTCAAAGAAGATGACAAATTAAGTATTCTCATGTGACGATGTCTGCCACAAGAATAGACCCTCCATTCCAAGTACCGGCAGGGTAAGCCAGACATCTTACATAAGTTCCTCATTTGTCTTGGGAAGACTGTCAGAAGTAATTCATTATAAGTAATGACATGCACATTTGGAATAACTTGAGGCAACCCAGTTATCTTGAATCAGGTGACCGCTGGGTCTTTAAAATAACCAACGGGAACAGAGGCTGTTTAATTCTACAGATCAAAAGGCATTTTTCGTTTCGGAGGAGGGACAAAACTCCTATGATAAAAGAAAGCTTTCTAAAGAACAGGCATGCAGGACAAATGTCATCTCTCTTTTGTGCCAAGAGATGAAAATAAAATATTATTCTCTGTGAAAGATAATTAAGAGACTTTTTGCACATATTCCTTTGACAAGTCCAACTGAGAGTTCAAATAGAGACTACCTCTAGTTATTTATAAAATTAGGACATACAGTGCTAAACTGTACAGATGCAAAGAGATGCAAAGAATAAAGCAGAAATAAATTAACACGTTAGGTAATGTATTCATAACATGATAAAGGCTGTCAGTCTATTTAGTGAGGTGAAGACAAAGTCAATATTTCAGACCATCCACAAGGTGAGATTAGCAGCTTTGCTACAAAGTTGGAAAAGAGAGAGATTTATGACCTGGGAAGAATTTGACATCTATGAGCTGATGTGGTTTGGAAAAGATGATGAAATGACTAAAGAAAAAGGATGTTATGTAGTTTATTATTATAAAAAGGAAAGGTTTTGATTGATGAATAAGGAAAACACTTAGTGCCTATATAGGTTTCTAAAGGAGAAGATAGGAACTTTTTAAAAAATCCTCACCCGAGGATAAGTTTTTATTGATTTGAGAGAGAGAGAGAAAGGGGGAGAGAGAGCAGGAGAGGGAGACGGAGAGAGAGAGACATTGATGTGGGAGAAAACCATCCATCGGTTGCCTCCTGTACAGGCCCCAACTGGGGATCAAACCCACATCTTGGGTATGTTTTTTTTTAGTAGCAATTTCAATGAGATCTAATTCACATACCATGCAATTCACCTATTTAAAGTATGCAATTCAATGTTTCTGTATATTCACAGTTTTGCAACTGTACATATTATTTATAGAAACAGAAAAAAACTTAAATAAACAGATCTATGGTTTACAGATGCTCTGTAAAAATACACTATCTTCCATTGTATACGTAGCTATGGTCTGCATACCCAAGTAGCTCAGTGAAAATAAACCACAGGTAATGTGGGTCCCTTTCTAAGGCTAGTTACTCTAACATACTCCTAATGGAAGTTCAAACAAAACCGAGAGAGGTGATGACAGTCTTTACCTTTGCAGTGCTTGTGGTCTGGGGTCGGGGTGTAGCCCTTGTGACAGGAACACATGTAGGAGCCTTCAAGGTTGGAGCAGGTCCCATTAGTGCAGACCTTCGGGTCCAGGCACTCATCCACATCTTGAGGAATGGTGCCCATTGGGAAGGGAAATTATAAAACAAACAAACAAAAGCAGGTCAGAGAAGAAAGAAATAAAACATGAAGAAAGTTGAATTTAGTTAGGAAAAAAAATAGTGGATCTTCAAAAGATCTGTAAGATAAACTTTCAAATTAACCCTTAGAAGGAGAAAAAGCTCTGGTGTGAGCTGCTTATATGACGGTTCTATGCCTTAATTTACTCCCTACAAAGTAACTGACAAAAGGAACCAAACATGCTGTATGAATGAATTCAATGGAAGACAGGGGAGCAGAAGAGTGAGTGGTTTTGGAGCAACATCCCCTACAAAAGAACATATTCCAAGGAAGCAAAGATGTGTCAAGCTCTGCTTGGAGAACTGAGTTCAGTAAGATGTGAGGATTCACGGGAGCAAAAGCTATGACTGGGGTCCCAGAGAAACCTCCAGAAAAAGTGTAATAGGTGAAAAAAACTAACAAAATCAGCATTATAAAAACCGTCTGGGGACAAATGTAAGGCTATTTGGGCAGTCAGAAGCTATGCTACAGGCTAAAGAGGCAGATAATAGCTAATCTTTATCAAGTACTTCCTGGATGCAGGCACTAAAGGCTTTACCTATATTATCTCACTTAATCCTAACAAAGTCCAGCGAACCACTTTCCAGAGAGGAAGGAACCATGACTTAGAGACATCCAATAGGGTTGCCCAAGCCACAGTTAGAAAGTGGTGGCTCTGAGATTGAAATCCAGTCAGTGTTAACACCGAAGCACACCCTTCTAATTTGGCTGTAAGTTTCTGTCGTAGACAAAGTTAAGTCTAGTGATAGAAACAGAGAGCGATTTTTATGTTTGTTTTTATTATTTGGAAAAATACTCATCTAAGTGTTCATTGATTTCATTCAATGAAATAAAGCATTCATTAAGCTCCTATGAGAACATTATTAATTAAAAAAGAAAAATTGCAGTTCTGAGCCCCATTTGAATGCCCCTGGGTAAGTCCACTGTATGTTGTAGTGAGAAGATATAATGTAGCATAAATAACCAAAGCCTGAGAGGAAAACAAAGCCCAAAGTGCTCACACACACACACACACACACACACACACACAGCATCGCAGTTCAGGCTTAATTGTAAAGCAGTCTGTAACTTAATCAGTGCATCTTAATGATAAGGCAGACAGACAATAAGGAGGAAAAGGCTCCTGATTTCATCCACTTCCTTTGACAATGCTCACTGCAAAGGAAAAACAGCTTTCTACCCTCTTAATGTTCTCAACGTTAACAGACGGAGAGTCACGGACACATCAACCACAGAGATCTCATTTCCGGTCAGCAATCCAGAATTCAGAGTGCATTCATTTGCCCCGTATTTCATTAAAGCTGTATCCTATCTTTCTTACAATAGAATTGAGAAATAAAGTCTTGGCAAAATACGGTAAAGAAAGGGGAGTCTGTGTGCACAGGTGGGTTCCCCATGCATATAGAGAACAGCCAACCAATTGGCACTGCTTAGGTGGCTCTACCCTCTCTCACACAACCACTAACCATGGTGAACCGACTCTTCCCCATCACAGCAAGAACAACACTTCCAGGCTGACACACGCTCCGTCCCGCCTGTGTGGGAATCCACCTCTGTACACATGGAAGGCAAGCATTTCATTAAAGCTGTATTCTACTTTTCTTACAATAAAATTGAGAAATAAAGTCTTAGCAAAATACGGTAAAGAAAGGGGAGTCTGTGTGCGCAGGTGGGTTCCCCATGCATACAGAGATCAGCCAAGCAATTGGCACTGCTTAGGCGGCTCTACCCTCTCACACAACCACTAACCATGGTGAACTGACTCTTCCCCATCCATCACAGCAAGAACAGCACTTCCAGGCTGACACACGCTCCGTCCCGACTGTGTGGGAATCCACCTCTGTACACATGGAAGGCAAGTGACTTGAAAGAAGCCAAACACCGAAGCCAAAGTAAACAGTGGGACAGAATGAGCCTTGACACTAAGCATGGCCATGCCTGACAGCAGCGAGAAAATGTCAAGTTTAGCATCTGGTTTGCTTGAAAAAAAATGGTAACAACTTGAAAAATGTATGGCTCGCTCTCTCTAATTATTCATGCACCAGGGAATGTGACTTACAGGGCTGGAGAACGTAATAGCAAAATCAGTTCAAGACCATATTTCTCTAAAGTAAATGAATAGGCATTACCGATTACTATTCATGAGATACTTATAACAGTTCTATTTTGTCAGGCGACTACCATGATTAACTATGGAGCAGAATGCCTTGAACTACCTCGGGTATTCTAATGTCTTTATTCTTCAGTTATTATAGACATAATTGCATGGAGCCAGAATCCTTGCAAGTCAATCATTCACATGGAGACCGAGCAGTTTGAATTCAATGAGTATTTGGCCTTAATGGAGCTCATGCCCTTGGGAAAGTTAACTATATAGTAAAATATTATAAAGGTACCTTTACATGGGGTCAAAAGGTACAAACTTCCAGCTATAAAATAAGTAATTCAGCCTTAGCTGGTTTGGCTCAGTGGATAGAGGGTTGACCTGTGGACGGAAGGGTCCGTGGTTCAATTCTGGTCAAGGGCACATGCCTGGGTTGTGGGCTCGATCCCCAGTAGGGGGTGTGCAGGAGGCATCCGATCAATGATTCTTTCGCATCATTGATGTTTCTCTCTCTCCTTCTCCCTTTCTCTCTAAAATCCATAAAATATATTTTAAAAATAAATAAAGTAAGTCCTGGGAATGTCATGCACAAGATGGTGACTACAGTTAAAAGTACTGCATTGCATATTTGAAAACTGTTAATAGCGAAGATCTTAAAAGTAGCTTATCACAAGAAAAAAAAAGAAAAAGAATTTGTAACTATGTATAGTGACGCATGTTAACTAGACTTACTGTGGTGAGCATTTTGCAATGTAAACAAATATTGAATCACGATGTTGTACATATGAAACTAATATAGCATTATATGTCAATTATATCTCAATTAAAAAAGAATCTCTATATAGAAGACATGTATCTAGATGGGGCCTCACTTGGTGGATGTAAAATAAACTCAGTGTTGTATCTTTAGCCCAGACCTGTTTCCTAAACTGCAGATCCCTACATCTAGCAGGTCAGTCTACGAGACATCTCCACCTGATGTCCCACAGACACCTCTGAGTCTTCGCGGCCAAAACTGACCTTCCCCACTGCCTCCTCTCAATGCTGTCTCCCATGTCAGTACATGCTGCCACTACCCTCTCAAGTGCCCAAGTCAGAAGCATGGGCATCATCCTTTCTAGATTTCTTACACTTATTACCAAGTCCTATCAATCCTACCTTCCAAATATTTCTCAAATATCCTCACTTTCTTTTCATTTCTATTCTACCATTCTCTCCCACATGTATTACTGCCATGGCCTTTTATTTCTCTATTTCCAGTCTTGCCCTCTTCTAACATTACCCAACCTACAGCCAGAGTAACCTTTCTACAACACAGATCCAACCAATGGTTGTTCCTCTATTTTAAAAATCCTCAGTGGTTCCCAGTGTTCTTGTGGGGTCTCGAGTGGTATGGACAGAAGGGCTGGTCCCCACAATCCTTCCTTCCAACCGTTGGGAGGATCAATGCCGTGGGAAACAAGGTGGTCCCTGCCCACCTCAGCACCCATCACTCACAGCCTCCCCCCAGCAGAGGGAGACAGTAACATCTATATTGGAGATCAAAACTCACCTTACTCTAAGATTACAGTCTTATAAAAGAGCCACATTACCCAAATTCTTACACTGCATATACATTATGAGTTCAAAGGGAAGTTTATCATAAAAAATACTGTGTCCACAGAAAAAGTGGCTTCCAAACTCCAAAAAGAATTACCAATGGGCTTTTGGGACAAAATTTGGCATTTGCCATTCAATGAATGAATGAAAACCTCCCACAGTAAGGAAGTTGTTGGCATTTATGAGACCAGCACTTTGTGGATATGATAGTTCAGAAGTTTATGAATCCTCCTCACTATTCTATGGCCCAACCCCAATGGATCCTTCTCATCTATAATCCCCCTGACAGACTGTAACAAATGGCGTGTTGAAACCAGAAATGCCACGCCCGGAGTAGCTCCTGACCTACCCCTCTAATCGCTCTCCCTGAGGAAGCACTCAAGACAGTCTGGCATGGTTTGCCCTGACTGAACTCTGGCTGATTCTTATGATCATCGCTTTCATTTAAAAGTGCTTCACCTCATCACCTGAATCCTGTAGTCTACAGTTCTTTGTCAAGATCAATTTGAAGTTCATGGGTCATTAGCTCCTGACTCCACCTTCTTTCCTCTTTAGGGGGAAATGAGGACATTAATCTCTCTCCAGCTCTCTGGCAACTTTCCATCCTCAACCCTTTCACAAAGATGACTCCCAGCTGGCCAGCAATCCCACCTGCAATTCTCTCGCTGCCTTGGGATGTATTTCATCGGAGTCAGGAACTCTTTTGAAATTTCCCTTCCTAATATCCTGGGAACACACCAGACTACCTGGTGGGCCTGACTTCTAAGTCACCAAGGGTTTTCAGTGGCTGATTTTACACCAGTCAGCCCAAGGCTGTGCTGCACCGACCCCTTCCACTTCACTTAGGTCCTTGGGGTGGGTCAGGACTGGTTCCAGCAACCATTGGCCTGCATTACTTCCTGTACTTTCAAGGAGGTGAACTTGTCCACACTGTGAACCAGGCATTTTTCAGCGTCCATTCAGCATTATTTAATTCCTTAGTGACCAATGGGGACTTCAAGAATGAGCATCATTTGAATATGGGGGGAGGGGGGGTAGGAGGGTGGAAACATCTTATTCTATCACTACAGCTACATAAAAGTCTAGGATTACTCCTTGCCCCAAACATGCTATTACTTCAATGATCCCTTAACTATTCTTCACACACAATCTTTTATACTAAAGATGATAAGAGACCATACTGGACAGAAACACATACTTGACAAATGAGAGACAGACGCTGGG